GATGTATAGCACTGGGCTTTAACATTATTAAATAATAAACTTAATATAATTTCTAATTTTTATTTAGTCCTTAACTTAATATATAGTATTGGGCTTTAATGTTATTAAATAATAAACTTAATATAATTTTATTATAATTAATAGTTTTTAATATAATATATCATTTTAATTTTTAATATTTTATTATTATATTAAATATACTGTATTACAAATCTATTGCTATAATATCACTAAATATAATATTGCTTATTATACCAAACATTATACTACCTACTATATTATTATATTTTACATCAAATATTATACTATATACTATACCACACACAACTTCAAGCACTATACCAAATACCACACCTGCTACTGCCATTTTATCATTTGCTACTACAACTATACTGCCTGTTACTACAACTATACTGTTTGCTAATTCTACAAAATCTACTTCTACCTTTACACTATCTAATATTTCTACTATATCTATTGCTACTTTTATACTACTTGTTGTTATTATTGCATTTATTGCTATTACTAATAAAAAATAAAAAGTTAGAAAAAGTATTGTAAATTATAAATAAACTCAGAAACAATAATCACATAATAGATATTGATGAGATACAAAATATTAGATAGAATTATGTTATGAAAATAATTTATTAAATTAAAAAAAAACAATCTGCATATTGCAATAATAAGCTTTTATTAAGTTAAATTATGTATTTTTTTTATTATCTATTTACAATTTTATAAAATAAATAATACACCTGCTCTGGTTTAACTATATATTAATACAAGTTATGCAATTAGATGCATTTGAAAAAAAATCAATTAGAAATAACAAGTTGGTATAAATATACAAAGAGTTTAAAAGAAAAGTAAATAATATTTTAAGTAATAGTTAAATTACTCTAAAAACAAAGATGAATAGCTATAAAGAAATCTATAAATATCTTAATATAATTACTAAAAATATATTTAAAAAAAATACAAAAAGCAAATATAATTTATAATCTGTTTCACAATATTGAAAAAATAATAAAAATTAATTAAATTGAATATTCACTACTAACTAACTTTCTAAACTTACACCATAGCAAATTGAGTAAAACAAAGAGAATATTAATTAAAATATTTGCTTTTCTTAAAAAAAAAAATGTTTTTAAAATATACAGTCAAACCTCTCTATAGTCACACCCACGGGATACAAAAAAGCATGATTATAGAGAAGTGTGCTAATTATA